CTATTAAAAAAAAAAAAAAAAAAAACTAAATAAATAAAATTAAAAAAATAAACAGAATAAATTTTATAATAATGTTTATTAACATGCATTGCCCCTATCAATAAACAAATAAACACGAGACACTTGTGACATTAATGTAAATTAAAGATGAGTTTAGACTGACTTTTTCAAAATTCACAGGGAAAAAAAAAAACTTATATGGTTTGAAATGAAATAAGGGGGGGGGGAGTTAAAAATGTCAGAATGTTAATTCTTAAGTGAACTGTACCTTTAATGCTTTTCCTATCCTATGGAATTACTGTTCTATTGTTCGTACAAATAAAAATCGAAATGCACGGGTGAATCTGGAATGAATTACAGAGGCACATACATGGTCTCATATCAAGGGCTCGAGGTTCGGAGGTGAATTCTTACGTGTGCAGCCGCCTTCCTGGAAGCTGAAGTGTCCGGGAGTGCAGCGGTCACACTTCTGTCCTGTCACACCAGGCTGACAGCGACACTGACCGCTCTCATCACAATCAAACGACTTCGATCCGAATGAATTGCAATGGCATGGGACGAAGCCTTGAGCGCCCTGCATGTGTAAGCCAGACTGGAGAGACAGAGAGACAGTGAGGAGGGTTAAAACAAGGCCATTCTCAGAGTGATGGCTAGACTGTGCTGTGTGGCACTTTCCACAAATAAGGTACAAATAGATTTAAAAAGCAATGAAGGCACAAATCCTATATTTACAGAGTGAGAACTATTACATATGTTGGAGAACAGGGGTTTTTCATGTGTAGGTGGTGTTTAACCTTTAGAAAAATAACAAAAGAAATTACTTCATAAAGAGCATCAAACTCATTTTTTGCACCTATTCGTGGAATGTGCCGTGTTTAGTCATACAAACACTATCATGTGCAATATTATATAAAACCTCCTTCAGTCCTTCAGTGACTCAAAGACCTTCATAAACACAGCACAGGGCACAGCACTGAACAGCCATGCAGATATTACAGATCAAACCAAACCACAGAAATCTGCCTCTGTCTCCAGTCTGTACTCTGTCCCCTTTACACTCACTTCAACTGACTGTAAAGACATTTTGAGAGGTAAATGCCAACAATTTCATTTTAATTATCAAAATGATCATGCAGTGATGATAAATCTGCACACGCCATGTGGATGTGAAGTCACTGTGGCAGCCATTGCTGTGGGTGATTGACAGCCATCTGTCTGCTAGGAACAGGTGCGCTGTCACCGTAGCAACCAATGAGAAGCGGCCCTGGCACAGACTGTCAGTGGCACCCCATGGATGCCAGATATATGAAGACACACACACACACACACACACACACACACACACACACA